TATTATCTCATGAATCATATATACAGAGATTTAATATGTGACTCTAACACTAAATATAAAAAACTACCTGGAGCCCTTAGTCTAATAAGAGCATGCAACCCAATAAATTCACCCCGCATATTTGCAGCACTATCAAATAATTCTCCTATTATATTTATTTTAAAAGCATTCACTCAAGATATCAAAAAATTCATTTTCAGAAGAGTTTGTAACTTTTGTAAGTGCGTAAAGTCTTTCTGTTTGTTATTTTCATGAAAGGCAGGTAAAGAAAACCAAAAAATATATTTGATTCGAAATCTTTTATTTAATTTATTTTTATTTATATTACTATTACTACTGAAGATATTGAAAATTTTACAACTATATATATTATTATTTTAATACTATTTACATATATACAATTTACAATTTGTTTTAAGTTTACTTTAAGAAAAGTTACAATTTACAATTTGTTTTAAGGTTACTTTAAGAAAAGTTATTTTAACGTTTTACATATACAAATACGATATCTTTTTTTTAAGTTCGCACAAAATATATTTCACAAATAGAAAAAAAAGGTCATTAAATAAACTAAAAATTAAAGAAAATATAAATTTTTTATATTCTAATTAACACTGTTATTTTGCCACTATATGTAGGTGAATGGTTGCTTGTCATAAAAGCTAATGTCTTGATTAATATCCATTTGCAAATTAAACCGTTTGTTACACCTTTTTTATTAAATTGATTTGATCAAGAACAATATCAATAACTTTTTTAAAGTTGTTTTTGACAACAAGGTTATGAGTGAACCTCTTCTCTTAAATTATGATTTGTCAGAGAGTTTAAGCTTTTTTTGCTCTTTAAAATAGCTTTCTCTAAATGATCTCTGAATATTTAATCATTCTTTGATATAATAGGAATCATTTCCACGAAATTACCATGATTCAAATTTTCACTTTTAAAGTGGCTAAGTGTTTAAGTATCATTTGATCTTATGTAGGATAAGCTTTATCTGCCTAAAAACTTTTTTATGTGAATATTGTTATAAATTTGTCGATTTTTTTCATTTAATATTTTAACACTAATTCAATTATCAAATGACTTGTTTTTTGATGCTCTGAAGTAGGCCTCGACTACACCAATATGAACTCTTGAATTTCGTGTATTTTAATTACTAAATGCATATGTTGAAAATTTGTTGAGCTTCTTGTTAAAGTGTTTTTAACATTCAATTAATTAATATTAAAAAAAATATTGGATAATCAAATTGATCAAAAATTTATTTTATTAAAATTATTATACCTGGGTTTTATTTATTCAATGAATTAAGAACAAGAAATACAATCATAAATGTTGGCTATATAATTTATACAAAAATCAATGTATAAAAATATAATATAATAAATTAATCAAAACTTAGCTTTCACTCTACTCAAACTCAAACGGAAACTTTTTCAATTCATTGAAAAAAAAACAAAAAAAAGCAGATGGTAATGATTTATAGCATCAAGCGACGTTATTGATATTTTATGCATTAAAATATAGTAAACGACATAATTTTCAAGGAATGTGATATTCAAATAATATAGATATCATTAAAAATAAATAAATGAAAAGAGAAAATAATGTATACAAAATAATTTTTTTTTTCTAATCGGCCTCTTTTTTGAATTTTCCTCTGATCGGCCTCAAAAATCGACATTTTATTGCGGCCTGGTGGGCAAAATACCCACCTGGTCTTATGGCCAGTACACCCCTGAATCTACTTCTATTGATGTGACAGCAGATATAAGTGAGAATGAAAATCTTTTACCATTTCATAATTTACGTAAGTATTTTACTTTATGTGAAACGGATGGAAGTAACCATACAATGATCTATGCAAAATGCTCTTTATGTAAAAACAGAATATCTATTTCAAAGATTAGCAGTTCAAACCTAAAGAGGCATTTAGAAGTAATTAATTCTTTTAAAAATACAACTTTTATTATTTGTGAAGATCATAACAATATTCATATAATAAAAATTATAGATTTCCTTTACTATATGATGACAATAATATATTGGCATAAATAATTCACCCAAAATTTAAGCTCAATTGGCATTTTATATCTGTCACAAAATTTATTGCTAAAATAAAGGTTAATTGCCGATTTGGAAAATATACAGTGTCAACCATATGCAGATCCTTCAAATGAAGTTACCTTTTTTGGGAAAAACTCGTCACAAAATGCTCTTTCCATTAATAATTTTTTTTATTCTAATGATGATTCAATAAATATTTTGAATAATTATGTTAATTAAAAAAAACTTTTATTGAATATAACACATCTTTAGCTAAACATGCATTTAATGAAAAACGTGGTTGTTTAAATGATAATATATTATTAAAGGCTAATTTAATATAAATATATTCTAATTGTTATACTTATATTTTATTATTCAATAAATTTATACCATATTTATTTATTTTTTATATTGTTAATTTTGCATCTATCAGAAATTTAAATAAGAAAAAGGTCGTGATCGCAATCCTTTTTTTAAAAAAAAGGTCGATCGATTTCGATCCTCTTTTAAAAAAAAGGTCGATCGATTTCGATCCTCTTTTTTTCAAAAGATCGTGATCGGGATTCGATCTTTTTAAAAGGATCGATTAACAAGCCTGGTCTATCTTTAAAAAAAATATGAAAGAAAAAAGCAATTAAAAGGGCTATTTTATATCTATTTAATAAAATTTTAATTATGATTTTAGCTTAATTACTTTTTGAGATATTTAAAATTAAATATAGTATATTTTGGAATTTTTACGTTTATAAAGATGGCCATATTTCATGAGGTAATCTGTTGGGAATTAAAATTTTATATTTACTAGTTAGCCATCATAGAAATCAGGCGCGTACGCAGCGGGGGGGGGGCAGGGGGACAAATCCCCCCCCCCCCCCCCCCAAAGCCAAAAAATGCAGATGCCGGATTATATTTTTCAAAAATATTATTGTTAATATTAATTTATATTTGTTAATATTTATTCTTATCTCATATATACATATATATATATATATTTAATTACATTTATTTATCACATTCATCTACTAAGTTATTTTATCAATCAATTTCGATTTCAAGTTTTCCTTGGCTTAATTTACCTTTTATTTTCAAATTTTAGTGGCGTAATATTTATCTAAATTTCTAATAAAATAATAATTATCTCTGAAACTTCTTGTCCAACAGGGAGAAAAAAATTGCAAGCTTGTCCAACGAGATCGAGTCTCCGCCACAGTAACAGCTATTTTGGAGTTAGAAGAGCTGATTATTAATGCTATTACTGAAATATCACAATGGCTTGAAAGAAATATTTCCTCAGAATCAAGAAAATTATTGGATTCAATACTTATTCCAAATTTTTTTTCTCATTAGAATGTATTATTTAATTATACAACTATTTTATGTAATACTTTTCAAAAACATAACATTGACTTGATTAAGAAGATGAGAATAGCGGAGAGCATTTTATTAGAACTCAAGGAAATAGAGCTAGTGTTGTTGAAGAATTTCATATTTTATATGTTATTGTTGAGTCAAAAGCAGAGCTATACGTGTTAAATATTTGTCCCCCTCGACTTGCAGCAAGCAAGCTCATCATCAAAACATTAATATAGGATCAGTAGAAGAGTATTATAAAACAAATGTCCCCTCTCCCAACCTTTTTCATATGGTGATAAAAAAAAAATATAAATATTTGTTATATTTTTATCATGAAGATTTTAAAATATCTTATGATGCCTTATTAGCTGAATAACTATGATTAAAAGATTAACTATGGTTGATACAGTCCCAAAAAATGCTATGGATGCTTTTTATTTCAAACATATTTTAGATTATACTCCCAATTATTAAAATGGTTATATATATATTAGCAGCTCTTTAGTAAACTAATGAGAGAACATTCACTTTTTTAAGAAGAATAACAGAGCCTTGCAGAGGTACCATTTGCAGGCCCAGGCCCAGATTTTTTTTAAAAAATTTTTCCGGCCCGGGTTTTTTTTAAAAAAATTTTCAGGCCCGGCCCGGCTAGCCCAGCCCGAATTTTTTAAAATAAATTATATTTATTTTTGATATTTATAGCTAATAATGGCGATTTCAAATATTTGGTTTTAAAATATACAACTCGGCTCGGATATTTTTTCTTAAAATATTTTCAGGCCCAGCCCGGGTGTTTTTTTAAAAAAAAATTACGAGCCCGGCCGGGGTATATTTAAAAAAATTAAAATTCGGGGGCCGGGCCTGCAAGTCTGTGAAAAACATACCTATGAAATACAACATCTGAAAGTAGATTGAATGATTTGGATCTTTTGAATATTCATAGACATTTAACGCCAAGCAAGGATTGATAATTGAAAAATTAGCTCAAAACATACAAAATACCATTATTCCTAAGAAACTTTTTGTGTATTAATTTATATTTACAACATTTAAATTTTTTATACTTTATATATTTTAAAAGCTCAAAAAATTCAAATTTCAATTTTGGGTCATTTAAGTGATTCATATCGTGGGTTATATTCACTTTATATTTTATGATTCACATTTAAATGCCGGTTTATATATATAATTTTTTTAATTCACATTAGTTTAAAATTGTGTATTAGAAAAGTTATTAATCCTAATAAATTTATGCTTAGTATTTTTAATTAAAAATATTATTTCTTAAAAAATTTATTATCCCCCCCCCCCCCCAGACCAAATTCCTGCGTACGCGCCTGATAGAAATTCTAAAAAGATGGAAGAGTGTCGGGTTGAATCTTCAGTTGATTTATATGGAATACAAAATATATATTCCATACAATCATAGTTGTTATTTTTCAAATAAAACTTATTTTGGTATAGTGACGCCACCATGATTGGTTATCATCTATAAATAAAAAAAATTCAATGATTTATACTTATTGAATGATTGACATTGGTCATCTGGGATTGTTCATATCAAACTATTTATGTTAGGTACAGTATATTCAACTTTTTAATGTCTAGCATCTAATGATGATATGGATTTAATCCTTCCTTCTGAAAAATCATCTAGTCGAACTGAAAAATGGATAGGCAATCATTTTATAAATGGTGAACACTTATATGATATTACTTCTGAATTTGATTCTTATAAATTAATAAAATCTCATGATAATTCAAAGTTGGAATCATTAGATAATTCCGATTATGATGGCAGAAACGTGAATAATGAATCTATTGTTAACATATCAAATCAAATTCAAACGTCAATATTAGTAAAGAGTGGACTCAAAAAAATCTGTTCAGGGGCAAATATATCTAAGGAAAACATTGTCCTAAAAAGTGGTAAAAGTATAATGCTTCATTCTACTATGGCCTCTTTTCAGTACTGTTCATATGCCCTTTTCTCAGCCAATTCCAAAATTGTTCAATCAAATATGAAAAAAGAAAAGTTAAAATATAAAGATGATGCACAACAAACTAGAGGGTCTAAAAGAAAGTTACCCCATACTACGAACAATGATATTGAACAAAGCTCAATACTATCTAATAAAAAGCATTTAGATATTATGACTTCTCATAATTGTATTAATACTAATATAACTACTAAAGGTATTCAATCAGTATTATCTCCTCATTTAAAATCTTCCTTGCATAATAATTCCCCAAATCATAATATTGCATTTAATCAAAAAAATAGTTTTGAAAAATCATTAACTTGTTTTAATCAACCTAAATTTCCATTTGTACCACCTTATCAAATGTTTTCTGACATGATATCAAGGAATCAACCTGGTATGATAAATATGCCACCAAGTCCCTTACAACATGATGAATTTATGTCAAACAACCCTGCTTATATGTATTTCTTATGGTGGAGACAAGCTCAAATGCAAATGTTTCAGATGTTAAATTATAAAAACTCTCAATTTATGAACCCATATTTTGAACAACTATCACAACTTTTCTTAAAGATGAAACATAAAAATGGTTATAATTGCAATCTGACTTGGTGCACCATTAATAATATTCAACCTTCATTCGTATCAGCCTTAAAAGATTGCAATATCAAAACTATAAAAAATCATACAATGGATATAGAAAATTCAATTAGTATTAAGCATTCATCATCTTATTCATTCTGGAATCCAACCAAAAAATGCTGCTCTTTATTTAACTTCTTTGACACTGATAATCAGCCCACTGAAAATGATCCTTTGCCTATACTGGAAACAAATAATGACCAAGAAATAAAAGCCTTTACATTAGGTTTATCAAATACAAATGCCAATCAAGCTCTCCTTAATACCTCTACAAATACACCAATGGTAATAGATTATATTTAGCATTTATAAGACTTTTGAGACGGCTACTTATTTTTTAGTAAAAATAGTATCTAAAACAAACATTTTAACCCCCCAAAATTTATGCTAATTTAGTTTAATATAATAATTAATTTAACAAATAAATTTAATTAAAATTCTATGTTAGGCCTGTGTAAATGGATGGGTGGCCAATATAGCCACATTGAGCCACCAAAATATGACTATTTTAGGGGTCATCAAGTTTACTTTGTGTACATTAAGTAAATTGTAATTTTTTAAAAAGTATTTTTATTATTATTAGATAAATTATGCTTATTATAATCAGTCATTTTTTACAAATTATTTTTATTTTACTATCATTTATTGCATAAATATTACCTAATTCCATGGGTGTGACTGCTTTAACAATCTCAGGGTACCTAAATTTAAAATTATTTTCTAAGACCTTTTTTTAGAATTTTCAAAATGACATTTTTAGCTAACATTTCAAAATGACCTTTTTTTGGTTATAAAAAGTTTTTCAGAGGGCTTGAGCCCCTGCACTATTCCCCCCCCCCACATCAGTGATGCTACTACCTAATTCATATTCTTTATGCTAAGGAAAATTACATTCAACCAACTTTGAATCACCTTTTTGGAAATATCTACTCTAGAGTGTCATTTGATTTCAAATCACACAGCTCCACAACTAACTTTTTTGATTTTAATAAAAAAATTATATGATGGTTACTATGTTATAGTTAAGTTAAAAACAAAATTTTTGCTCTTTATATTTCCTAAAGTAATAGGGGTCAAATACTTTTCTTATCACATTATTTGGTATACTTTTTAGAAACTAAAAATTCAAAAGAATTTAAAGCCAATGAACTCTTCAAAAGGCAATGAATTTTAAACTTTACTCAAGATGGGCATCATGAAATTTTTAAAATTTTATTCCCCTCAGCTAGATAAGCCATTTTTTTTATTAATTAATTATCAATGATTTATTAAAAATGCTTGATTTTTGTACTATTTTATCTCCCTATTATTTCAGGAAATAGAAAAGCTAAAATTTTGTTTTTACTTAATTATAACATATGTAACCATCATTCAAATTTTTACTAAAATTTAGCCAGTCAAATATCCTTTCTTTGTTCATTTGATATGAAATTACCCTATACATACTATTACCCTCCTAAACTAACTTTTGAAGTTAAAATAACATTTGAAAATGTTTACTTTACAGTTTATGACATTTATTCGAATTAATAACTTGTTCTCCTGCTATTTATTTATTATCATTATTAAATGTCATTTTACAAATCTTTGTTTGGATAATCTTGTTTCTGACTGCTAGCTATACCTACAAAAATACGAATCGAATCAAATCGTATTCGTTTAAATCGAATAAAATCGTATTCGTTTAAATCGAATAATTCAGTATTCATATTCGTACGAATGATAAAATGATTATTCGATTTGATTTGTCGAATATTCGATTCAATTCGAAAATTTTATTTAACCGTAAATTAAAAAAGATAGCATATTAAATTTATTTTGTAAAATTTAACTATGGATAAAAGACAAACAAATTTTATTAGTAAGATAATATAGAAGCATACATACATAGTATATTTATATATAATGTAGAAAAATTAATATAATATTCATAACATGTAGAAGACAAATATACCAACAACAAATTTTTTAAACACAAAGTTTTTGCAAAAAGTCAAATTTATGATTTCTCCATCATCAAACAAAGGAGAAATATCTGATTCGCCCTTTGACGGGATAGCTACTAGTTATTTATAATTGTATATGTGTTATAATTACATATAAGAATAAATACTTTCTTCGTCCATCATAAAATAATTTTCGGAAGTTAATTTTGTATTATGAATTATTCGAATAAAAATCGCCGTTAACAACATTTAGAAATATAAAATGTTTTTTCATTATTCCACTAGGAAATTTTATAAAATAGGAATAATTGCAAATAATTCTTACTAATAATATATGATTATTTTTCGATATTTATTTATATAAATTATTTTAATCGAATAATTCGATCTATTTTCCTTATTCGAATTCGAATCGAATAATTGGGTTATTCGTATTCGTAAAATACGAATCGAATCGAATATCTAATAACAAATAATTCGTTTTAAGTATACTGCTAGCATACTTATCTCTCTTCATTGGTGATTCTATAAGATAAATATTCACCTTTCACATTTTTCCCAACTATATCATTTTAAAAAAATCTATAGCCAAATATTTAATAAAGAAATATGACTTAATGAACAATGGATAAGTTTCCTTTTTCGAAAAATTTCAGATTTTAGATAAACGGAATCCCATGATTTAAAAGATCACTTGTTCTAAGGTGATTAAATAATTTAGAGCCGTCGGAAAACTTTGCAGATTCTTGGAACGTTCCGAAAATATGATCATCGGATAGGGGGGAGAGGCATTTTTAATCTTAAAAAGGAAAATGGAGCAGCATATTTTTTAATTTCAAATAAACGAAAATAAATTTCCTTGTTATAGGTCACTGATTTTAAATAAATTCTTATATTATCAATTCCAAAAATAGCTCTAAAAAAAGCTTGCTATTATCAAATAAAGGCACTAAATGACCCTGCATTATTTATTTACTTGCTTGAAAATTATTATCTTATTCAGGAACAAAAATGTTTTTATTTAAGCATGTTCTCATTCTACGCCATTGATCTTATTTTGTACCTTTTTTAAAAATTAAATTATCGCCAGGCGGATATGCGCATTGATATGAAATATTGGCACTAGAATTGATTACAAATAAATACTACATCTGCGGACGATTCGTTCATTTATAAAATGTATCAATAAAAATCCGCTATTGACGCATCATTTTGGTTTCCCGTATAAAGTTTACGTTAAAAATTGTTGGAGAAATTTTATATCGGAAACCATAATGGTTTGCCACCAGCTGATTTATATTGAGCGCGCTTCAAGATGCATTTTAATGAATCAATCGTCCATCAATCTGTGTAGGTTTATTATGTCATTGAGAGCTGACAAATCAACGCATTAAAAACAGGAACATTAATTTGAAGCATGCTGATCATCATAGCTTATTTCAATTAGTAACCTCCCATCCCCCCACCCCTCTCTCTTGTTAAAATTTTATTACCTGATTTCGAGCACTTATGCAGGACTCTAAACGTCATAAATTATTAATTTTTATTTGTTTATAAATACAGTCTCATTTTCGATGTATAAGCTAAAACCCAGTAAACATTTTCTTCTTCAAATCCAAATCTGATATTTAGGCCTTAATTTTTTGATTAGGCCCGGTCCAGGCTCGCAATAGAAAAAAAACCTGCTCATATCCAAAAATTTAATTTATTGTATTTAATAAAAATAAACAATATTTCAGTGTATTTAGGCAATCATTTTGTTTGCAATACTGAAATTTTTTATTAATAGAAGAAAATGGCAATATTTTTTTTTAAAGTTAGCAATTGTTTTGAATAAGCTAAATTTGAATGAAAATAATATATTGGGCCGCGGGTCGATCTGGCCTATGAATGTTTCTAGTTCGAATCCAGCAAGGACTAGATTTTATTTCTGAAGTCAACTAGGCGGTTATGTGCTACAGGGGTTGCATAGAATATCGGAGGCTACCGAGGTATTATCATTATAATATTTAAAAAAATGGGTTATTCTGCATTATAATTAAAATTAGGTTTTTGTTAAGCAAAAAATTGGGTCGTTGTTGCTTTGATTGGACATATCACTATCCAGGTTTTTTTTTGCTGGAGGTTTATTATTCTTCTTAATATATTATTGCTTTGCGAAAAAAGTAAAAAAATCAGTTTTGTATATAGTTTAGGGGTGTACCGATACCACATTTTGGAGGCCGATCCGATATCATATCTTTAATTTTTTATACATCTAGTGTTGCAAAATCGTTACATTTGAGTCGATTTTTAAGAACGGTTAACTCACTATTTATCTAGATAAATATTTACGCAGTTCTGAAGATTTTGCTCATAGCTGGCACAAAGGTTTGGACATCTATTAGCGAAATCTCAAGGTTTATGGATTATTTTGGCTAAAATATTGAATTAGCTGTTTTTAAAAATCGGTTCAAATTCAAATGAAGCGATTTTGCATAACTACATACATCTATTCATCTCATATACTTTTTAATATTATAACTTCTATAATTTAACTATACCATAACATAAGTCATTTAAATATATTATAATGATCAGTTATAGTTTATATTCATGAACCTAAAAGTATATATATATTTTTTTTGATAAATCACTTATTTACATAATATGTAACAAACAAATATATTATAAAATTTGAAATAAATTTTAAAAATTAAGACACCATTTTATCGGATCGGATTAGAAAATTTTATAATATTGGCCGATAATCGATTTAAAAAAATGAAATATCGGCCCGATCCGATCCAATAAAAAATATTGGTACATCCTTAATATAGCTTAAAAATTTTTTATCATACAAATTTTTTTTAACGTCATAATTTAAGCTCAAACAAGTTTATTTCGCCGGAGAAGAGGGGGGAGGAGTGCAAATCAAAGTCGATGTACATTTTGTAATTTAATTTTTGGATATTTTAATCTTCGGGGAGGGGGGGGGGTCATTGGCAAAGGGAATTCTTTAGAGATATGAATTTAAGGATATATTTATCTCCTGCCAAAGATTATATATAAAAAATTCCTGTTTATTGACTTTCTATCTATATTGATTAAAAAAAAAGCAGCGGCACTTGAATGACCATTTTATAGATGAACTTTAGCCTTATTTAGATCTAGTCTCAATCGGATTTTAAAACCTTGTAGTTAATTATAAATATAATATGTAATTCTATCTTAGATTTGGAACTGAATTATGCTAATTTTTCGGGATTCATCTATATTCGCTATAATTATATTATAGCTTTTAACTTATAAAATTAATGAGAATCAAATCCAGAACATAATTTAATGAGTTAGATTAAA